GCTTACGTCACCACTGCCGGCTATAAAACCCAAGCTGCCAAGCTCAGTGCTCACACCGCTGCTGCTATCCAGTTAATAAACGTTACGTTTTATGTTAAGGATGCATCTTTCTCTCGACACAGCATCCCACATCTGCTGACCCAGAAAACGATCTAACGGCACGATCGTGGCAGACCGAGAAGCCCTCACTGCTCTGCGCCTACAAAAGCAACAGCTCCAACAGGAACTGCAGTCCCAGAAACCGCAGCCTTATTGCAACGCCTCCAAAACAAAGGCCGCACCTGCCGGCCCTGCTGAGGACGTCAGAGTTCCTCCAGAAGCCATCGCGCACACTGCTTCCTGGCATGTTGCTGTCAAGCTTCCGCCGTTTTGGGTGGTTTCCCCAGAACTCTGGTTTGCCCAGGTCGAAGCCCAGTTTTCTTCGGCGCACATCATGCAAGAAGGTACCCACTACGATTACATCGTCGCCTACCTGGACGCAAGTTGCACCAACGAGGTTCTGGATATACTTGCCAACCCACCAATGACCAACCTGTACGGACACCTGAAGACTGCACTCATCCGCCACTTGTCACTCTCGGAAAAACAGAAGATACGACAACTGCAGTCCGCAGAGCTTGCTGAGTGCAAAGCTTTACAGCTCCTGCGACACAAGCATGCGCTCGCGAGCAACATGGTTCAGAATTTTTTCCTGTGATCACTTTGGCTCCAACGACTCTTGCCGTTAACCCATGCTATTCTGCAGGCTCAGGTCAGGTTACCTCTGGACGAACTTGCGGAGATTGCTGATCGCGTCGTCGAGGCCTCCTTGCCACTGTTGTCGCCCACCATCCAGGCTGTCACCGCACCGCTGAACATCACAGAGCTCACGACATCAGTATAAGCAACAGTATCAACGACATCAGCAGTATCAACGACATTGATCGATGGTTCTCCTCCATTCAGCATCACTTGAGTGAACATCTTGCCGTGCAGCAGCGCCGCCATTCACAAAGCCGTGGCCGTGACACTACCCTACTGCAGCAGCATGCTGAGCACGGCTGATGCGACTACCATCGCCACTTTGGTGACAGGGCCCGGCAATGTCAACCACCCTCCTCCGCCAATGGCAAACACCAACGGCAGCTGGTGGAGATGACTGCAAGCTGCCAATGTGGAGGCCGCCGCCTATTTGTCACCGACGAAGTCACAAAGCAGCGGTTCCTTGTCGATAGCGGTTCCAACATGTGCTGGTACCCCCGATCCCACCTTCAAGGTCCTTGCCGACCGACATCTTTCGAGCTCAGTGCAGCGAACTAGTCCACAATCAAGATGTATGGCCCGCTGCAACTGCACATCCAGCACAAGAATTTAAGCCGTGACCTACACTGGAACTTTGTCATCGCCGACGTCGCCGAACCAGTCATCGGCTCGGACCTTCTGGCTTACTAAAACCTCCTTCCAGACTGCCGCCACGACCAGCTCATCGACCTGACAACGGGGCATTCCACACCGGGCCAGCGAACAACCGCCCAACAGCCAAGCATCAAGGTACTCAGTGTCACAATCACTCGCTGTACCATGACATCCTCGTGGAGTTTCCTGGCTTGACGCGTCCCAGCAGACTACCACGCAAAGTGCAGCACACCACCGTTCACTACATTCGAAATCGAGCTGGCTTGAGGCCATCCAGGTTGTCAGTCTCGGTCTTCGCACCACCTTCATGCCAAACATCCTCGCTACACTAGCGCAGCTCGTCTACGGAGAACCACTCCATCTCCCAGGTAAATTTCTCGCAGCTCTGCCATCCAAAACTATGACATCAGACCCCAACGACTTCGTCGCCCGGCTCCGACGCACAATCGCCGCCTTACGCCCATTGCGAGCCGCCCACTACAGCAAGCCTACACCTTTTGTGTTCAAGGAGCTGGCATCAAACACCCACGTGTTCCTACGCGACGACACCGTCTGCTGACCCTTCCAGCCACCCTGTAGCAGGCCTTACCTAGTAGTGCATCGTGACGACAAGAACTTCACTCTGTGCCTGAATGGGAATGACGTCTACATCTCGATTTACCGACTGAAGCCCGCATACATCACCGCGAACGAAGCGGGCGGCACCATTCCTCCCTCAGGCATCCTTCCACATCCACCGACGTCGCAGGCCGCTCCTTTCACGACACGATCAGGACATCTGGTATGCCTCCCAAATTTTTACAGACCCCGAGGGCTCTGCACTCCGCTGGTGTTGGGGGGGTGATGTGGCGACCACTGGACCACTGCACACAGTCCTGCGCAGCTTCCGTCTCACCACTGATTAGTGCGGCGTGACACTTACTGGAACACGCTAAAAGACACCGCCAGCGCAGTTTACCGGAGGCTTATGTCACCACTGCCGGCTACAACACCCAAGCTGCCAAGTTCAGTGCTCACTTCGTTTATCTAACCTTCGAACACAGCGTCAGCATGCTTGCACCACTGATGCTATTTAGTTAATAAACATAGTTACATTTTATGTTGGGAATGCCTCCTCTCAGCACGGCATCCCACAAGCTCAATGATTAAGGAACTTGAGCCAGAGAGTACCCTTTACACCAAGCTTGTACCTTACTGAAAGTTCGTTTGCATGCACTCATCAGTGAATGGTGGGATTCAACAGAGGTCTTCGCATAAGATTTCACAAGTCCGTTGGACCTCCTTAATAAAAATCCACACTAAACGAGTGTCGCAGACCTGAACAGATACTGTGGAGACAGATGTGGAGACAGACATCTGAGAGGAACCTGTGTGATCCAGAACACCAAAAAATCATTTTGGTACTGTGTTCAAACTGTGATCCCAAATGTGAGGCATGAGCTTCTCTGCGTCTTTGAAGCCTGTGCACCTATTTTTCAATTAGCCCTTCATGAAACTGACTTGAGTCGGCTCCCGAGTGATTTTGCAAACTATCAGTGCTATGAAATATGCAACATTGTCGAACCCCCGTCGTTTTGGAGCCTTTACAATGTCGAGTGGCCAGTGCTTTCTCGCTGCGTGCTGAGTCTTCTCGTGCTTCCCGTTTCAAGCATTCGCGTTATTGGATTTACAACCTCGTTCGCAAATTTAAAAGTTTGGACATTAGCTCTCGTCTTTGCTGCCACTACGCCGGCTTGCACAAGCTCAGCAAACCTTTGTCGTCATTGTTTTCCCAGCTGTGAACCTAAACATCGCATCACGCGCACTGCTCTTAGATCGGTGCTCGAGTACAATCTTTTCGACGCTCGATCTTCATGTTGTCTGGAATAAACTTCCGCAACATGCCGAACCGTAGACTAAGCCCAATCAGCATTTGTTGCTTTTCAGTAGCAGTTGCGAGCAATCAAGGTTGCTCTTTGGTACGGAATAAACACAACTCTTTGCGATGGATCTACTTAAAAAGAGGGTAAGGGCGGCGCTTGTAACATTTGAATGGTGATTCGACATTCGATTGCAACGTCTTTGAATGTGCGGTGTAAGACCAAGAAATAAACATTTGCTAATATTCAGCCGACAAAATTTCAGTTGTGATAATGCGCATAATGTAGGTGACCTGAAACGTAATCCGCAAAATTTAGGGGTGGCACTTTCTTTTATTAGTTTATTTTAATTATTTTTTTTTGCGATTCATTTCGTCAGTAACGCAGGTCTTATGATGCTAATTTTTGGAAATTTCAATGCTTGTAAGCACCCCGCATCGCATGCCTCAATTTAGAGACATGCGAGACTCAAGACGTTTTGGGCTAATGTAGCCTATGATGAAGGCTGGTTCAACTGCAGTGCTGATATTCGTGACTTCGGTGAATCATTTTATCAGCGGTCTATGCTGTGCTTGGAAATAAAATTTTCAGAAATTTTACCCCACATAATAGCCACCCCCCGAACTTGGCGCCAGATCTTCTGGGAAAAAAAAGGGGGGGGGGGGGGCATCTATTATGCGAGTAAATACGGTAATTCGATATATCCGAGATCAATATATGTACTTAAAATATACTACAGTCAAGGGCAATGATGGTAAAAACAACGTAATTTCATCTCCCACCTGAACATAATAGCGCATCACAGTTTTGATAAACTTAAAGATTTGGCAAAGTACCAAAACTAAAATTTTGCTATTTCTCCTAGGCCATGCATACAAATTAGCATGTGGTCATCAAACTGGAACCTGAGCTATGTCATGCCACACTTCAATTGATCCGAAATATTGATTGCACGCTGAGTCGGCAATGACAGAGATGTTGCTGCTGAGATGATAAAATTATTGGCATCCAGATTACCGGTCAGCAACAAAAAAGAATGGGCACCTTATGAAGGAAGACGACTTACATGATGCTTCGATACTCTTGTTTGCAATTGTTTCATTGGCTGTGTGTTTCTCTTTTTTTTTGTATTCAGTGCAGTATTCTGTTCCAGACTTTAATACTGTTTAGATCACAATCAGATTATCTTGGTTCTAAAACAAACCTTGCATTAATTTGTTTTTTTACTGCACAAGTACTGCCTTTGGAATTGCATTCTTTAGCATGTATGCCCTGTTGTAGTATGACACCTGTCAAATGGAAATTTTTCATTTACCACCATAATGCGATTACCACTTCAACTTTTTACAGGGCTATGAAGTAGTCAAGCTGTTCTAACGGCAGCTTTGCATCACTGACTTTTTTTTTATCTTCCCAGAATGAAAATAAACTTGGTTTTATTTGATGTTGCATGAGCTAACACATAAAAATCAGATGGTACCAGCTGTATGTGTGTAGCCCTTCTGCCTGGATGTCCCAGCTCATGTATTGCCGGCTTTATATGGTAGCACTCACGTGATAGGTTTGCTTTGCTTGCTGCTACGCAGCCAATTCCAGATTTAGTGTACATGGAATGAGTGTTCTAGATCAGAGAACGATGTGCTCGGTAGTTGACACGTCAGAAATAATAATAACTGTGTCTACATGTACAGACAATTTATGCAGCTACCACCACATACCACCACATAAAGAACCAACAAAGCTCACCTCCACAACTGCAGCCAAGGGAGGTGAAAATTGGTCCTCGCTGTTGGTGAGAATGGTGGAGACCACGTCTAGTGTCTTGCGCAGTGCCACCTCAGACAAAGTCCAGAGAGACTGCAGAGAGTTTTGCAACTGGTACATTGAAGAACTCTGACAACCCTCAAATGACACTCACTGAGTGACACAGGTGTATATAAGGTCACCTAGAAATATCATTAAACATCTCAAAAACCAGCCAGCAGGACTGTGATAAGGTGAATGCCACTACCAGCAGTGCAAGAACGCCAGCCGTTCACGTACCTTGATGAAGTGGGCCACAGTGTTGATTTCCTTGATGTAGGGCTTAAGGTCCTCTGCTCGAGTTGGGCAAGGAGCAGCCACCACACAGTGAGTGAGAACTGAGCACAGTTTTCCCAGCTGGTCCTTCTGCAAATAGTCGCACAGGGTATGCCAACTACCCCTATACGGACGGAGTTCTTAGGGTGGACACAGCTCAAGTGGGCGGAACATGCCCTCCAATGTGCCACTGCTAAATACATGATATAAAGATAAGAGGGAAATAGAAACCCTAGAAACAAAGTACTCTGAAAGTAAATTATTCCATATAGTTTTTACTCTACTTTTAACAAACATGTGAAAGCTGGCATAGATTTCTGGTTGTGCGGAATACATCTGTAAAGTTTTTAGTAGTTTTCAGCAATTGCATTATTGTTATTAGGTGTTACTACTTTTCGAATTTGTGCTTAGTTTGCTTTGTTGCATACTATTTGAGCTAATGCTGTTGAATGCAGCCACTACCGTTTTGCATAAAAGTAGCCATGGGCCATAGTCAAGCTTTCTTTTTGGAGAGCAGCTTTTACCAACAGCTGTTTTTCATCAATGTACTGATGGAAAATACACATTACATCATTATTATTAATAGTAGTAGTATTATCATCATCTCCAGCACCACCACCACCACCACCACTATTATTATTATTATTATTATTATTATTATTATTATTATTATTATTATTATTATTATAATAACTGACCTCCGTGACAGCCAGGGCACAGCTCCTGCCATTGTGTCACGTGCCCTGCTACTAGTAAATATGGCATTGAAGAAGAAATCAACAAAAAAATGAGGCAGGGCTTATGACGTAGATGCAACATGCGCTAAAATATAAAAAAAATTATTGTTATTTGTGAATGCTGGCCAAGGCAGTGGAATAGCTACCGGATTGGTGGTACGGCTTCCTCGTGGTGCCACAACATTTCATTTGGGTGTGTTAAGATAATATCGAACACAAAGTCCTGGTCAACATCTCAAAACAATGGCTTCAAACTTCATTTTTCAAAAAAAAAAAAAAAAGCTTTGTGTAGCTGAAAAAAATATATTGTCACGTGGTCGTGATGTTGACAAAGGCAGTAGACTGTATGTCCAAGATTAAACTGTTCATTTGGCCAAACTTGTGGTCAGTAAACGGCAAGTCAGATTATAGCGATACACACTGACACTTATGAACAGAGTGTCAACCGTCGATCAACTGATCCGCAGCAAGGCATGTCGACATATATACATGCGGCGTTGAATATTCGATCATTATCCTTACAGTGGTCGTGTTTGTTCTAGAATCAACTCAGCTGTTCACTTTTGCGTGTTCTACACTAAGAAATGATAACAAGGCAGTCTCAAATACTCTCAGACATTCTGGAGCGATTTTCACAAGGCACTATAGCACGTGCGATAGGCCAACAAAATGAAACACAGAAAGAAAGGAGCATACATGGCAATTTGCAACTGCCGAAAACCCTAAGTGTGCTGGCAGCACTGGCTGAAAAAACAAAGATGGCTGGTTTAACAGCATTGAGTTTCCTGAATATACACTAGAGAGAACTCTGGAGCTAGTGTCTATAGGAGTTGCAACGCATGCCGTTTAAGAGAGCATGGGAATATGGGTATTACATGGATTTGCCTTGTCTTCGTACTTTATGTTTGTTCTGGTGTTGCATGGCTTGAAGCTGCTTTGTCACGATGCAACAATCGGCAAAATGTTCGGAAGTTGCACTTCATCACCCTAATCTTATAGGCTTACCACTTCAAACAGGGTCATGAAGTGAAAAACGGTTTGTTCTTTCCTTCAAATCAAAAGCAAAATACAGCAATAAATGAAGCCACAAGTGCAATTCACCGCCCGCAAAGCACGAAAACTAGGAAAATCCATGTCGTACCTATAATTTCAGTGGTTGCTGAACGATCGCAATGCCAGTGTCCCCTTTAGGTAACTTTAGAAAACTCTATGCCTAACAGGGTCAACACGAAACTTTCAAATCAAATCAAATCAAATCAAATCACCATGGTTTTCGCCATGGTTTCGATTGGCTCTGTGCTAAAGTTTCTTCATTGTGGTGTCGGATGGCGTTGCTTCATTGAAGGCAAAAGGTACTAGGCCGCGGACTGCCTCATTCTGATCAGTATAAACGATTTCATTGGCGAAACAGCAGAAATAGTTGCGCTTTGCACGCAAACATCGAGTCACTTCGGCAAACGGCATCCTGTTTACTTCAAGTTGATGAACCTGTCTAACGAGTCCTAAGTTGAAGATGGCAGCTGCTCCTGTGCAGTCTCTCCGAAAAGTGCTAACAGTTTTGCGCTGTGTTGCTACACTGCTACAGGTCTTATTAGTTTTTGAAGTAACTACACTGCGACTCTACAGGTCTTATTAGTTTTTGAAGTAACTACACTGCGACTCGTGCTGCGGATTGCATGTATCTCGTTGAGTTCCGTTGTGCCGTTCACTTGATTACATTACGGAGCCATGCCTGGGCCAGTGTATCTTGAGATCAGTCAAATTGTAGTTTCGATTGTAATAGGAGTGCTCCTTTCTTTACATTTGCTAATCCATGCTATTAGGTATTTAATGAATAAGGTCGTGTGCTTTTGAACACTCTCTTGTTCGTGTTGGCAATAGCTGATGTTCAAAGCAGATATATGCACGGACATGCTGTATATACACCCGAGCATGCACACGCACGACCTTCATGCGTGCGTTTATGTGCATGTATACACACACATGTGGAATCAAAAATTGTCGAGGGGAAAGATTGCAGCAGCTTAATTTGAGAATGGGTAACATTAGGACTTACACTGAAAACAAGCATATGCGAAAAATACTGTCCCACACGTAACGCAACAAATTTCCTCAAGCGCTTGCTTGTATAAACGAAACTATACTCCGTGCATAGAGAAGACAGAATATTGATAAAAATGCACACAAGCCAAATAATAATGTACTCAGTGAGGAGAATTAAGTCATCACAAGCAAATTGATTAAACGAACTACCGTATTGTCCGTCACCTTCTTTCCAATGCATAAGTTTCTAATTTGCGCCGTTTTCCGTTGCGCGTCGCCTGCATCCTTCAGGAAATGATAGAACGATACGTTGCCATCTATCCACCACGATGCCACACATTAAGACACCCTGCAATGGTCTCTGTACATCATTTTTTCTTTTTCAGGCTCATGCATGTGGCATAGCGAAAAGAAAGGAACTGTGCTGCCACGTCTCAACACGCGCAACAAGGTCACATGTATCCGTTCAAGGTTGGCACTGTTAGCGCCATTGGAGTCACGAATAAACAGTAGAACCCAGATTTTACTACTTAAGGGGACCACACAGAACTGTCATTTAATCCGGGCGTCATGTGATCGAAAAACTGAATACAGGCAGAGACTCTCAGCCTTGCCCAAAAATGGGTACAGATCGCCTGAATAAGGCGACAGTACGGCGCTGTGCTTCCCCAAGGAAGGCAGATTAAATTATTTTTGAAAATGGCAGCTAATAGTGGCACTACATAGCGGAAGGAAACGTGAGCAAATCTTTATTCTCAACTTGAAAATGTCGACTCTAACGCACACCTTTCTCTCTATAAGGCGAGTCCGAAAACTGCCTGCGCATGAAACGAAACCAAAACTGCTTGGGAACAGTCTATGAGCCAGACAGTGTCATCGGCTTCACATAATGGCAACAGAACATGACTTTGCATAGGATGCCTTCATCCATACCTTCGTGCGCGCATGAGCTGCGCACATTATAATTTGTTGCCTGGTGAAGTGAGACTGGTGATATCCAGCTGTCATTTTAAACATTCACGTAAAGCAAAAGTTATATTGTCTGATGAAAATAGCAACGTCGCTGTGCGTACTCGAGGCCTGTGAAAGTGAGTGCAAAAAACAAAGGCAGAAGATCAGCTGTATATTGCCACATTCCCTCCTCAAGTTTTGTTATCACCCGATTTCGCTGTCAGTGTTTCTCGACCCAAACCATGCCTACAGTGTTCGAGAAGCTTCAAGGCTGCATTTGATAATTTTGTTAAGATTAAGCCCACTTCATGAACACTGCAGATTATTCTGGAACGGTCACCGCTAGCGATAACACAGGAATATTCGATGTCAAGTGTACGAATGCCGATGCGCTTCGCCACTTATCAGTTGATCGACCGCCCACGCTCTGTTCGCTGCTATCAGTGCCAGTGGGCATCACTGTAATCTGACCTTCAGTTTAGGGGCCACAAGTTCGGCCGAATAAACAGTTTCATTTTCAAGATGAAACTGCTTATTCGGTCTCCTTTCTTCGTCCACATCACGACCCAGTGACAATATTTATCAAGAAATGTTTCCATGAACCGAAAACATAAAACTTTTTGGGTCTCAAAGATGAGCTTTCCAGCCACCATAAGCTACTTCATGTGGATATAGCCTGTCTAGATAACGACCCCGAATACCACGTGATCGCATGAACTGCCAGAAGAATAAATTATCCATTCTAAGAAGACAGTTTAGGTCACTCTACTTTTCTAATCGTCAACCTAGGCGAACGCACGTTCACATGTCGCACTTGCACAAACATTTGGTTCGCATTTCAATTCAATCACAGTGCTTATTCTCCTTACAGAGGCTACGGCATCCAATTTTCAACCATAATCTGTATTCAATGGGCTGATCCTCATGCGCTCACAGACAAGCTGGTGAAATTTTAGCGCATTTGGTCGTGCCGTAATATTATAATAGAATATTTTTATAAATGAGCGAGCGGCCTGAGAGTCATACAACACTAACGTGCTCGATAGCTGTGATGAAACAAGCCATTTGCCGGGCAAGCTGCGGCACGGTATGCATTCCGGAGGACAATTATGTTCCGTGGTCAGCTGAGCTTGCAATCGAGCTTTTTCTGTATTGTTCAACTTGCAACTGCAGCTAAATGACCTTTAATGGTTGAAACAATGCCACTGCATCGTCCATGTAGCACTATTACTTGCAGCAAACAACCTTTGTCAATCTGTCTAAGGTCGAAAAGTGTTCTGTAGATGTGCAACGTGTATGCTGTTTGCCACTACAAACATTTATTAAAATTCCTCGCAAGCAGTGCCATCGTTAAGTGTC